GAGGAAAGGAGACGAAATAAAGCTCAATATTTCACTGAGACCTACAAAACACCAGTCTACCAGTTCCAGGAGTTCTTCTAAATCATCAAACGCTCCCACTTGCAGTTCCATGCCTCTCGGCTCAGGTCCCTGAGATGCCTGCTCCCACACATGGCAACGGTGGCAACAACAGTCCCCTCCCCCAGCACCCGCTGTCAGCTCTCCCTATTAGTTCTCTAGCTTTGAATTGCTCCCAGCTCTCTCTCTTTCCTCTCCCCTGCCCACGTGCAGGCAGGAAAGGAAATGGAGTTGGAGCCGTGTGCAGCTGTCCGCTTTTCCAGCCCTTGTTGCCTCTCCCAACATCAGGCAAAGCTGCCGCAGTGCTAGCATCCTGAGTTGCTTGCTTCTCCACTACTGCCTCCTTCTCCTCCTCCAACACCTCGTTTTCTGGGTAGGGCAATTCTTAACTAACCATGCATGCTAAGGCAACTCAGCACACTACTGCTGCAGTGGCTTTGCCTGCATTTCGGAGGCTTCGATGTTGGGAGAGACAACAAGGGCTGGAAAAGCGGAGAGTTGTACACAGCTCTGTCTCCCTTTCCTTTCCTGCCTGCACATGGGCATGTGCGGGGGGGGGGGGGAGAAAGAGAAAGAGCCTGGAGCAATTAAAAGCTAGAGAACCAATGGGGAAGAGCTGACAGCGGGTGCTGGACTGTTGTTGCTGCCTCCATGTGTGGGAGCTGGTTGGCGCATGCATCTCAGGGACCTGACTCCCAGGTCCCTCAAAGAGCCGGGAGGTGAAAGAACTGCGCGGCCCAGATTAATTGCTTTTGGGGGCCATTTATTCTGGGGCCTGCCAAAAAATTTCCATGGCCCATCAGTGGGCCGCAGCCCACTGGTTGGCAACCGCTGATCTAAGTCACTTGAGAGGATCTGCTGAGACCTCTCTCAGAAAGGCTTATCTTTCTGTGGATGGATTCAGTGTTGACTGCTCCTAGCACAGCACACCCCTCAAATCTGTCTTTTGAGAACAGGTACTGCAACCTCAAAAATTGATCTCTAGCCCTCTCCTGCCACTCTGGGACCAGCTATGTGTTCTTCTGGTAGAATTGATCTCTTGAAATCTTACCCCCAGTGTTTTCCCCTGTATTGAGCAGTATGACGGGTGGGTGGTCTCATTTTCCCAACAAAATCCAGGCCTTCAACCTCATGGGGAAGTTGGTAATATTCTGAACTTTGACTAGTTAGACCCCAGCCTAGTTGAAAATTACAGACCAATCTCCTTATCCTGCATTACCTGTAAAGTCATGGAATCAATTATTAATCAATCCATCATCCTCCACTTAGAGACAAACAACCTACTCATTAATAAACAATTTGGTTTCAGAAAACTATCCTGTAATCTGCAACTCTTACACTGCAAAAACATATGGACTACACAACTCGATCAGGGCAAAGCAATAGATGCAATCTACATAGACTTCTGTAAAGCCTTTGATTCAGTGGTACACGACAAACTACTCCTAAAACTAAAATCTTACAGTATCTCTAGACACCTGCATAACTGGATAGAAGCATTCCTGTCAAACAGACAACTAATGGTCAAAATTGGGAGCGTCCTATCAAATTCTGTACCTGTCAACAGTGGTGTCCCCCAAGGCAGTGTTCTAGGACCAACTCTCTTCATACTCTACATAAATGACCTCTGTGATCATATCAAGAGCAACTGCGTTCTCTTCGCTGATGATGTAAAGCTATTCAACACCACAGACAATACTGCTACCCTTCAAAAAGACCTTGACTATGTATCAGAATGGTCAATCAAATGGCAACTTCAAATCTCAACAAATAAATGCTTTGTCTTACATATTGGCAAAAAAAATATCAGAAAATAAAATACAAGCTGAATAGTCAAGACCTTGTTGAGGATCCAAACTTGACAATGACCTTGGAATACTCATCTCAAATGATCTGAGTGCTAGAGCCCACTGTAACTACATAGCCAAAAAGGCATTAAGAGTTGTTAACCTAATCCTACGTAGCTTTTTCTCTGGTAATATCATACTACTAACTAGAGCATACAAAACATTTGCTAGACCAATACTTGAATACAGTTTATCAGTCTGGAATCCACATTAAGTATCTGATATTAACATAGTTGAGAAAGTCCAGAAATATTTCACAAGAAGAGTTCTCCACTCCTCTACTCGTTGCAGAATACCTTATGCCACCAGACTTGAAATTCTAGACCTAGAAAACCTAGAACTATGCCGCCTTCGGTCCATACATCATACATTGCAATGTCCTACCTGTCAATGAATACTTCAGCTTCAACCATAACAATACAAGAGCACACAATAGATACAAACAACTTCAGCAACAGAGTGGTCAATGTCTGGAATACTCTACCTGATTCTGTGGTTTCTTCCCCTAACCCCAAAAACTTTAATCTTAGACTGTCTACTATTGACCTCACCCCTTTCCTAAGAGGTCTGTAGGGGGTGTGCATAAGTACACCAACGTGCCTACTGTCCCTGTCCTATTATTTCTTTTATTTTTCTTATATGTACCCATTTCATGTATTCATAACTATGTATATACTTATACCTATTATCTTGTAAGCTATTGACAAATCAAAATAAATAAAATAAATATAATAAAGAAAGCAAATATACTTATTATTCAAAGCCACATCAATCATGATCTAGAATAGATATGATTTGGATGAATAGAGAATTAGAAAATAATATGAAAGCTATAGAAATAATGATTAACATTGGGGCAGACCATAACTCCTTACAGATAATTTGGAAAGTCCAAAAAAAGAAAAACAGAATATCCAGATATTGAAAGAAAAAGATTATACACAATTAATTAAAAAGGAAATGGAATTTGTTCTTGGAGAAAATAAAAACCAAGATACAACCTTACAGAATCTATGGGACACCGCAAAAGCCTATATAAGAGGAACAACAATAGCATACATAGCCAGAAGAAATAAAGAGAAACTTACTAAACTTACTAAATCAAGAGGAATATGCAAAAAAAAAAAAAAATAGGCAAAAAAAAATTGAACAAGCAAATAAGTCAGGAAAATGGCTGACTTATAAATTTAAGAAAGAAAGGAAAAAATTCAATTCAACAACTAGAACCCCCAAAACCAAATGAAAGAAAAAAAATTATAGAAAAATACTATGAAACTCTATATAGTATATAGTCTATATAGTATATAGACCAAATAGAGAGGGAAAGGACACAGCAATACCTTAAAGCAGGGGTGTCCAACCTTTCACCTTCCCTGGGCCACATTAGAAGATGAAAATTTGGTTTGGGCCGCACATAAAATAAAATAACAGTAACG